CCTGCCGTGAGGAGGATGCTAGTATCCATTGGGAATGGTATCCAGGCTCCTTCACAAACCTGTCTTGCATTATTCATCAGCGTTATTAACCTGCCTTGCTAAGCACAGCCTGGAGAGAATTACATTCCTGGAAGTGTTAGATGGGGCTTGGAGCAACCTGGGCTGGTGGAAGGCGTCCCCGCCCACGGCAGGGGGTGGAATGAGATGCCCTTTAAGGTCCCTTCCAAACCATTCAGTGATTCCAGGGTTTTTCAAAGAGCCCACCTGTAACTGCTGCCTCGTACCCCTCAACATTTAAGGCCCGCTGGCAGGTTCCCCTGACACATGCCACCCATCCTTGGTGTGCTGCTTTTTGGGCAGGCAGGAGATGCTTGGGCTGCTTGCTGTTGAGGTGAGGGGTTTTATCAATGAGCAGCAATGGAAAGAGGAACAAAGCCCTGACTCGGAAGCACCAGCGCTCCGGTTGTGCCGTCAGCTCGCTGCCCGTGGTTTCAAGGTCTGTGAGCACGCTCGCCTGAAGCGTTTCCTTTCAGTAGCACAAAGGAAAAACAAAATAAAAAGCCGTAAAACGCGAAGATAAAGGCTGGGGGCATCTCCAAAGAGACCAGCGACCTGTGGGCAAAGCTTTTGTCCCACGCCAAGCAGTCCCCAGCCTGCCAGGAAGCACCACAGCCCCACACCCAAACCAGACCTGCCAAGCTGCTCCCCGCCGGAGGTTCTGCCGTGTGACCCCGCTCCGGATGCCAGGGGGGACCAGGGTGTCCCCAAGGGTGGGGAACTCGGGCTGGGCCCCCCCCAGCACAATCCCCTGCTCGCAAGCCCGCGATGGCCAGCGCCACGCGGAGCCGGCCGGGGCGTTTTGGGAAGCCGAGGGCTATGATTTTGTGCTATTCATAGCAAACCACGGCTCCCCTCCCAACGAGGGGGAAGGCTGCCGGAGCAACGGGACGGCTCCTTTTACACGGGGCCGCTTTTCCACGCCGGGAAGCGCTGCAGACCACACCTTTCCCAGGACAAGCAGCACCTTATGCACGCCAGCACCGTGGTTTGGGATGCAGAAGGACCCGGAGCTCTCAGATCTCCTCTCCCCTGCCCCGCTCTCTTAATAAATAAAGCAAAAATCAAGCAAATCCCAGAGGAGTTTTGCTCACAACAGAGACCTGCCCGTTATTTTTAGGCTCCGTGCAAAGACATAAATCACTTCCTGCCTTCCAGGAAGGAAATGTCCCACCACCGCTGCCTGTCTGCCTCCTCCTCAGGCAATGCCTGCCTGCTCCCAGCCCAGCCACCCCAAAACCCGCTGTTTTCTCCCATCCAGGAGAGAAAAACAACCGGAGCACAGCTCGGGATGTGAGGGGTGCCACGGCCAGGGAAGATGAGGGGGTGTTCGCTTCCCCAGCACTAAGAGGATGCACCGCGGAAAGGGCAGGGAAGCAGGTCCGGAAAAGTCCGGCAGCCATCGGAAACGCAGTCTGGATGAGGTTTCTGGAAGTTTTCAGCCCCGAGGAGCCGGGCAGGAGCTCACTCTTGCTCCTAGGACATCCTCTCTGGCAGCGAGGTTGCCTCAGTCCCACACGGGGCTCTGCGCCATCCCCAGCACGTGCCAGCGGGAAACGCATCCCGGGCTTCCCGCTCCTCCCGTGCTCCCTAAACGGGAGGCTGCCGAACCAAGCCCCAGACCTCGGCTACATCTGCTCCTCTTCCTCCTCCATCTTCATCCTCCAGCCATGCCGCACCTCCCCGCTTCCAGAGCTTGCTCCCCAGGCGGCTTTTGGGGGTGCAAGGGGGGCACAACCAAGAGGTGTAAATCCCAAAACTCACTCTGGGGGACTCGAACCGCACGCAGCAGGCACAGCCGGCACCGGCCGACAGCCGTGCTGGGCTCCCAGCCCGCTGGGGCTGGCTTCCAGGCCAAAAGAGGGAGAGAAAAGCCCCTTTTAAATAGGAAATGCAACTGCAAAGGCAGGAGAGGTGGGGAGGATGCCGTCCGCGGGGAGCATGCTGGGCCTCAAAACTAGTGATCCATCTATTTTCCAGAGGTTTGAAACCCAGCGTTGGCTCCGGATAAACCTTCCTCGCCACGGCTGGGGCACCTCATGGCCACGCTGTGGGGTCTGTGCTCCAGGGGCAAAACAAACCTCCCTCCCGTTGTCCCGCCTGGTTTGGGGAGGACACAACCCTGCCTAAGAAGCCCCCCGGGTGCCCATCCAAAACCCTCCCGGAGGGTGGGGGACACCCTCGAGGGCTGGTCCTGCCCCCTCCATCCCCTTCCCACCGCGCTGAGTGGGGAAAAGGGCCCCCACCACCCCCGAGGAGGGGATGAGAGCGGTAGCCGGTCCCGGGGAGGGGCGGATGCGCGGCCCGGGGGTCGGGTTTGGGATGACGGGGGGATGCCCGGTTCCGGGGGCTGGAGCGGGGAGAACACCCATTCCTGGGGTTCGGGGGGAAAATTCCCGGCCCGGAGAGGGGGGATGCTCGGTCTCGGCGGGGATACGGTACCTGGGGCGCTCCGGGCTCAGCTCCCGCGCCGGGCCGGCCGCGCCGTCGGGCGCCCCATGGGGGCGGCGGGAGCGGTGGCGGGAGCGCAGCCCCGCGGCCGCGCCGACCGCCGGCGCCTCGGCGGGGGAGGGACCGGGGCGGGCACCGGGACGGGGCCGAGGGGCGTTCGGGACCGCCCCCAGCTCCGGGACACGCCCCCTGCACCGCCCTCTGCACCCCCGGGACACCCCCGAGACTCCCGGCAGGCAGCATCCCCCGCCCGCAGCATCCCCCAAACACAGCCACTGTGCCCTCAGGGACCCCTGACGCGCAGCCCCCATCGAATCGGGGACCCCCAACACGCAGCACCCCCCACCAGGCTCGTCCTTCCATCATCTCCTGGTGACAAACCAGAGAGGGGTCGGGACAGAAAGGGGACCGTCAGATGCCGCTACCCCAGCCAGGTTTGCAGTTTTGGGGGTATCAAGGCACTGCCGGCACCTCTCAAAGCCAAAAAGCGCTTTCCCTTCGCAGAAAAAGGAGACAGGATGTGTGTGATGGAAGCCCTATATCCCATCTAACCCTGCCCTCTGGCAGTTCAAAACCACTCCCCCTTCTCTTGGCGCTCCATGCCCTTTTCCAAAATCCCTCTCCAGCTCTCTTGGAGCCCCTTTAGGCACTGAAAGGGCCTCTAAGGTCTCCCTGGAGCCTTCTCCACTTGAACACCTCCTGCTCTCCCTGCCTGTCTCCATAGGAAACATCAGGGCAGCTCCAGCCCCCCAGGTATCAGAGCCATCCTTTCTTGCTCAGGCCCCTCAGACTCTTGGGAATTAAGGCTGCTGCCCACCCAGCTGCTTCCCAGCACCCTACAGGCACCGTGGTGGGCTCTTGCCATGATTTCACCAGCACCAGCAGGTCCAGCACCCAGCTCTGCTCATCTCCTGCCCAGAGTCCACCACGGCACAGAGCGAATCCATCAGGCAGCTTCAGGCTTCCCTCACTGCCTCATAGCAAAGATGCTATTTCAGCTAATCCGTAAAACCCCAATCCCTTTCGGCTCCCACCTGCCTTCCCACATTCCATTTGGGTTAAAGCAGTGGGCTCTCAGAGCCCCCCAGGTAGGACCCCAAGCCCACCTTCCCCTCCCAGCCGCCCCAGCGTTACAGCCTTGCCCACACCCAGCACCATCCAGGGCTGCGGTGCTGCTCAGAATCAGTGTTTATAGGACACCAGCAGGGCGAAGGAAAAGGAGAAAAACGGCATTAACACGTTCACTGGCACTGGGAAGGAGGGCCAGGAATGTAAACGCAGACCAGAGCTAGTCCGAAAATGGTAACAGCTGGAAAGAAGGACTGGAAAGTTTGTTCGTTGGGATCCAAGATCCTAGCCAGGCTTCCAGCACCCAGCTCAGCCAAAATACCCTGCCCTCAGCTGCTCTGCTGCATTTACAGTCCTAGATTGAAAGTTTATGATTTTTAAAATTGATTTTAATTCTCCATTTTAAGATCCCAAATCCGTATCTAGAAGCTCCATAGGGAGGAGCACACCAAAACCCAGGGACACACACACTACAGGAGCTCTGGTAGCTGGGATTAACGCATAAAAAACACCCCAAAATTTGGAAGGGAACCAGTTGTCACTGGCATTGCACGGGCAAAACCAGATCCAGGGAAAAGAAGCGCCCAAATGCCTCGTCAGCAATTTTTTTCGTCGTGTTCCTCTCCGTACGTACGCACGCTCCGAATTTCCCTGACACTGCAGAATTAAACTGCTGCAATGTGAGCAGAATCCACGGGAGGTCATGGCAGGAACACTCCGAGTGCAGCCAAACCAGGGTGCTCCAAGAGGCCCCCCAAGCCCTCGGGAACGCCCTCCCAGCTTCACCTCTGGGATATGAATGCTTTGGGAATGTGATGTGCTGCTGTGGTATTTCACACACAGAGCTGAGCTGTCCTCAAGGGATGCATCCCCAAGGGATGCTGGTGGTTTGCTGAGGCACCCACAAAAATTTGAGGACACCCTCTGTAGCCAGAGGGTGTCTGGCTTGCTGCCAATCCCTCAGCACCCCAGTGGGGAAAAAGGCTCTTGCTGCTCAGACCCCTCCCCAATTACAGTGAACGGTACAATAGAGACTGACCTATTAAAAAATACTAAAAATATATTACAATGTAATACATTAACATAGATTAAGGTGTTCTATCCCTGAAGGATTCCAGGCCGAGGTTGGTGGACACCTTCCACTAGACCACGTTGCTCCAAGTCCCATCCAACCTGGCCTCGATGGCTTCCAGGGATGAGGCAGCCACTGGAGACAGGACAAATGATCAGTTTGGGGCAGTTTTGCACACGGGAGACCTATGGGAAAATCAGGCTTCTCAAGTGACATCTTTCAATTTAACCCTCAGCTGCTGGTACAGGGTTTGACCCTTCCCTGCTCTCTGGGCATGACTCCCATGAGGGGAGCTTTCCAAAGGGAAGGGAAAATCCTCCCCCCCACTAAATTACAGTCCAAATCACCTCGATTTAGAAGAACCAAAATCTTTATTGATCTCACTGTAACAGCAACCACTGGCGAGAGCTTTTCTCCTCCCAAACACCTGCTTGAAGAGACGGTAAAAAACAACAGAAATCCCGAATGGATCCCCTGACTAGCAGAGGAACGCCCCGGCGAGGCCAGGCACTCCCTCCCTGCTCAGCCCCAAGCCCACTTACAAGAGAACCGGGAGAAAATTGCTGGGATGGGGAACAGAGACACGAGGAGGCTGGGAAAGGGGGCATTTCGAGGAAAAAAAATAAACAACAACAACAACAAAAAGGTTTCCCTCCGGCTCCTGTCCATTAAGTCACGTTGTCCTTGGATATGGTCTAATTATTTTTGGCTAGCAGAGCAGGTTTCCCTAAACGAGCAGCTGTCCTGAGGGCACCAGGTCCCTGCATCCACGGTGCCTGTCCCCGCCCTGCCAAGGATGTCCTCGGTCCCTGCCCCTGCCTCTCCCTCGATCCGAGGGCCTAACCGACCTCCTAGGATCTTTTACTTCAAGGAAAATATATTTATTTATATATAATATATATATTTGTGTGTGTCTTATCACCACCCACCCACACGCATATACATATTGCTACTCGCACTCACTCACTCGTGCGCCTACGGCGGCCGGGCTACCGCGCTCACCTCACCTCCCACGCGAGGAAAAGGATGGGAAAGACAACCCCATTCCCTGGGGTTGTGCTTTTGCTTCTCCCTCCCCCACCCCCCAAAACGAGGGGGCAGCCCCCCCTCCCTGTGAGAGAAGCAGCTGGAAGATGGGAGCTCGCCACCAGCGCCGCCCCGTGCCAAACACACCTAGAGAAATAAATTACGGGATGGAAAGTGCACAAAGCCTGTGGGATGTCCCCCTCCCCCAGCACGGGTCCCCCAGGGCTGGGTACCGAGGTGGGGGGTGACCCCAGCGAGGGAGGGAGGGTGGGTGGAGCAGGCACTCAGGTGGGGGCTGATAAAATGGCACTTGAGAAGGTTGTGGAGCTGGTGATGGCTCCCAACAGGCAGTAAAAAAAAAAAAAAAAAAAAAAAAAAAATCACAACTGGGGGGGCTGGTGGGATTGGGGGGTGCAGCCTGACACTGCTGCGGCCTTGCCCTGTGCTGCTCGTCAGAGCAAGAGCTGCACGGAAAGAGGGGGAAAATAAATCCCATCTCCAGGGGAGGTTCAAGATGGCCACACCATGCCAGGCTGGCAAAGGGGGAGGTTAACATGGAAATGCTTTATCCACGGCAGCGTGATCCGGCTGGGAGAAATCCCATCCTGGAAACTGAGCAGAGGATCGCATCGATGGCAGCACCCTGTGAGGAGAGCACCCCATCCCTGCGGTGTCTGGTGAGCCCCCCAGAGCCCCCAGGGACACCCAGTGATTCCTGAGACATCCAACGGTGCCAGAGGGATCTCCCCCCTGTAGGATTCACATTTTAAAGGGCCGGGAGGGTAAAAAAACCCGAGCACTACAAAGCACTTTCCCAGAGGCGCTCGGCCCCAGCCCAGAAAAAGTCGTTTGGGGTAAAGTACCCCTTTTTAGTACCAAAAATAAAGGCAAGGGAATTTTTATAATATATGGCTACATTGCTGTGAGTCCTGGCTGGTGGGTGGGGGACACAGCCCCTGGCTGGAGGGCCAAGATGGAAGAAATCCGGGTAGGAGAGATGTGGACACGCTGGCTGATTCCATCAGGGACTACATCGGACCCCTGGAGCACCGAAGGGAACGGGCTCTTAACGTTGTCCTTCACTTAATGCCAACACATCCCAGGGAAACTCGAAAAATACCCTCCCCAGGGTGGAAGCAGGTGCATGATTTTAGCAGTGATGTTTCCCCCTCCTCCCGACAGGCTGCCCAAATTTTCCAGGAGAAGGGGGCAAAGGGGATGACACAGCTCCAGAAACACCAAGCTGCTGGCAATGGGAGGTTTGGGTAATAAGACAGGAATTTTGAGGGGGCACGAGGCAGCAGAGGAGGCAAAGGGGTGTTTTAAAAAGAAGCCTGGTGGAGATCAGGCTGCTGGCAGGTGGAAGAGGAGGAATAGGGCCGGATCCAGAAGGGATGCTCCGTCTGGCACATGTTGGGACCGGTCACCCGCAAAGGGGGAGAAAACAGAGCTGCACTCTCCCCAGAAAAGAGGGGGAGGAGGAGGGCGGGGAGGGGACGCTGCTGGGGACCGCTGCCACCTCCACCTCGCCGGGACGGATCCTGCTAAGCCGAATGGGGGGTGCACAGGTCTGGGGAGTCGCTGCCTCTCCGTGGTTCCCGCTCAGATATCCATCTCGAACTGAGCATCGTCCCCTGGCAAGAGGCAAGGAGAGCAGCGTTAGGGGCGCCATCCTCCACCCCAAATCCCTCCTGTCCCGCCCCGGGGGACCCTTACCCATGGATGGCTTGTTCTCCTGGTGGTTCAAGCTGTTGGCGTCCGCTTTGGGCTCCTCGCCGGCCTCGCCGGGGCTGGTGACGCCGGGAATATTGGGGAGGTGACAAGGCGGGGTCTTGGCCATGGGGGAGTTGCGGCGGTCCAGCAGGAACTTGCGGTCGTAGATGATCCGGGTGCCTGGTGTGGGGGGGAACGGGAGGAGAGTGGGGGAATCCGGTTCGGCAGCGCTTGTTTGCCGAAGGAGTTTCCCGGCGGCACGGGCGCCCCGGCCAAGGTTCTCCGCCAAAGATCGGCGGGGAGGGCTGGGGAGTGCGCGCCGCCGCTCTGCCCGCTCTTATCTGGGCACGACAGGCGATAATTCGGCGCTGGCCAAACACTCCGGCGGCAGCTGGGTCCCGCTGTCCCGGCAAACTCGTGGCAGGGGTGGGACCGAGTCCCGGAGATGCCGATGGAAGCGGCACCCCGAAACACCACGTGTCCCTCTCCTCTGCACGGGGACGAGCCATGTCACGACCCCGGGGCGGGATAGGGCCGAGACACCGAGCCCTCGGTGCCCGCGTCCCACCGGGAGCTTCCTGCCGACCTGTCCCGGGATCCAGCTGCCGCCCCGCCGGGACCCTCCGCGCTCCCGGAAAAATAACAAACCCATCTCCACGCGTGTGCGCCGAGGAGAACGGGCGGCAGGCGCTACATATCAACCACATAGAGAGGGGATAAAGGATATAGAGGGATATAGGAGGATATAGGTACGGCCGCGACACGCGGCGCTCGGGGCGGGCTGGCCCGGGCGCGCTCCCCGGGAGGCCCCGGCGGGCGCGGCGCTTTTACCTCCCGGCGTGGTGGAGAAGAGCGTCCCGCCGGGGGTGGTGCAGTAGTCGGCGGGGAGCTGCGCGGCGTCGCTGAGGGTGACGGTGCGGGTGGGGATGGCCCGGCTCTGGCTGGGCTGGCGGCCGCCTGCGGACGACATGGCCCCCGCTCGGCGCCGCGCTTTGTCCCCGCCGAGCGGCGCGGGCGGAGCGGCCCCGCCCCGGGCCCGGGCCCGCCCCGCCCGCCCCGGGCCCCGCCGCCGCCAGGGGGCAGGCGCGGCGCCGCGCCACCCTGCACGCGCCTCCCACGTGGTCTAGCGGTGAGGATTCCTGGTTTTCACCCAGGCGGCCCGGGTTCGACTCCCGGCGTGGGAAGGTACGAGTCTTTTTGGAGATGGTGGTCGTGATGGGGTCCCGCCGTTCCGTCCCGTCCAGGACTCCTTCGGCCGAAATGTTTTGGCTAGACCGAGCTGAATAAAGTCGCCCGGAAAATGAATGTGCATCCTCATACCCCAAACCAGGAAAGAATTTTTTTCCCCGTGTCCTATAGCAGGGAGTAGCAATTATCTCCATATTCCAAACCAGGAAAGGGGTTGTTTTCCCCGTGTCCTATAGCAGGGAGTAGCAATTATCTCCATATCCCAAACCAGGAAAGGGGTTGTTTCCCCACTTCCTATAGCAGGGAATAGCATTCGTCTCCATATCCCAAACCGGGAAAAAGGCATGGATCCGTATATCCCAAATAAGGACACGGGTTGCATCTCCTTATGCCAGACCAGGAAAGGGTATGCATCTCCATATCCCACACAAGGAAAAGAGTCCCATGCCCATGTCCCAAACCAGGGAATAGGGTTCATCCCCATATCCCAAACCAGGAAAATGGCATATCCAATACCAGGAAGGGAGATGTATCCAAATGTCTCAGACCAGCCAAAGACATGCATCCCCATTTCCCAAACCAAGAAAGGAGATGGATCCCCCATATCCCATGCCAGGAAAGGGGATACATCCCCATATCCCAAGCTAGGGAAAAGGATGCATCTGCATACCCCGAAAGCACCATCCTGGAAAGCTGGGAGTCTTAGCCCTGAGGGACATGCCAGCCCCAGCACAGCCTCCCTCCCTCCCCTGGGAACACTGATCCTGCCGGTTATTTTTAGTATCCCTCTCCCAGAGGCCAGAGTGGCTGGTTTCTCCCTCCAGCCCTGGATCCCCCAGTCCGAAGCGCATTCCCGGCGGGACCGGCCGCCCGCCTGCACAAGAGGATGGGCGAGGCGGTGGCCCGGGTGGCCAGGAAGGTGAACGACACGGTGGAGAACAAAACGGATTCCCTGGGTAAGCCCGGCGCTCCGTCCCGGCTCCCGCCTGGGGCCCGGACAAGGATCGGGTATCCGGGAGCAGGGCTCTATTTTTCAATGCCACAGTCTAAAAAAAGCTGTCGGCGTTCCCTCCCCGCTGCTCTGGAGAAGAGAAAGGCTCCCCCAAAGGGCCCTCAGCCCCACAAAATTAGAGCATATCCCATGGGATGTGTCCCCCCCTTGCGAGCAGTGGCAGTAGCAGGTTTTTTCCCATGTTTCCTTGTCAGATGTGCGTTTTCCTGAAATGTTCCCATTCCCAGCTAATATCCAAGAGTGGGGTGCAGTTCATCAAAGGAGAGAGATTAAAGCCATTCATTTTTATTCCCACTGGATTCCTGGCCCTGGGATATAAACCAGCATGTGCCAGGAGCTGGAGCTGTATCACTCAGGCTCTCCACATCCTCCTGAGCGAAACGTGGGAAGATGGAGCTTGCTCCATCAGCCCCCACAGTGCTTCTGGGGAAGTGGGCAGGAAGCAGAGCCCGTCCTGGGACTGGGATTACAGAGTTTCCATCCCTCGCGTCTCCTGGGAGGGGAAACAGAAACTGCTCAGGACAAAGCAAGAAGGCCAGGAGGTGAGAAGCGCAACCAAATGTTTTTCCCCTCCCAACCGCCCATGACAGTGAGAAATCCAGCCCAGGGAAATCCCTGCTCCATCCCCATCAGCGCTGGAATAAGCATCCCCAGGGAATTAGGGACACGGGGGAGTGGATGACTGAAGTTTTTAGACCCTTGCCTGGGTCTCTCTGAGCGCAGATCTGGCCAACTGCAAACTGATGAGCTTCCCCGTTGGAATCTACAAAGCCATGAGGAGCGTCACTGAGGGGATCCACCGCATCTCCCTGGCCAACAATGAGCTCAAGTCCATCACCAGCCGGTTTGTCACCACCTTCAGCCAGCTGACAGGTAAGGGACTGCCACTTCCAATCCTCTGGGACACTCCAGGAGCCCCCAGGTTGCTGCAGAGAGGGCAAAGCACCCAAGAGTCTCCCCTGAGCTCTCACCTCATTGCAAGCATTAGTTCAGACCCCCAAAAAACCCATTTTGCCTTATACCTTCTGCCCCCTGAAGAACGAGGACACTGGTTCTGCTCTCACCCACCCTTCCAAACTGGTGTCAGGGTCGCTCATCACCCTCCAGCTCCTTCCAAGGATGGGGCTGAGGAGGGAGGAGGACAGGAAGAGCAGCTTGGGGATAACAACGAGGCATGGCAGAGACGGGGCAATCCAGGCTGTGCCAACTAATTAGTGAGACATCAGTGAGAGTTAATCACTGCAGGAGATGGGAGCGGGGGACACCTCCCTGCTGAGCCCAGAGATAGCAGCCAGAGGCTAATCCGCTAAAAAATGGCCATGCAAGCATCCAGAGCATCCAGTACCACGGTATTGAACACTGAGGACGGCACTGGGGATGCTCTGGCAGCCTCTAAAATCAATTTTATTCCTGCAACGTACCACACAAATGCCACTGTGGTGGGTGCCTGGGGAGGCTTCCCTTGTTCTGGAGCTGTGAGAACACCCCTGGGCTGGGGAAAGGAAACACGTCGAGCAAAGGAAATCAATTTTCATTTTCTCGACAGCACAACAAGCCCTGAAGGTAAAAAGATGCCCTTGTTTCCCAGCAAGGGCTTTGCTCCACCAGTGAGCCAATCACTCCTGCAATGAACTGTGCTGGATCTCAGCAGGAACAGACTGAGACAGGCTGGGGACAATCTGAATAAGGCAGGACCTATAAATACCAGGTATTAGCAGGGGCAGGGCAGCTTGTGTGGGTATTTATAGTGCAGAAAGCCCTGTGTCACTGGAGAAGGGCACTGGGACAGTGGGATTTGGGTTCTGTCCCCAGGAGTGCTGCTCCTGGTCCCACGGGAGCTTATTTCTGGGGTAGGAAAGCATCACAGATGGGTAAACTGAGAAAAATAGATATTTTTCACACCTAAAAGCCTTCCTTCCACCATTCTCTTTATTCCTCAGAAGAGGTTTAGGCACATGAATGTAGAGAGCTGTCTTAGGCCATGACAAATGTCCATTGGGAAGGTAATTGCACTGACCTTAGGAGGAAATATCCCTTATTTTTTACAGACCCTGCCTGCAAAAGGCTGCCCAATTTCATTAGCAAAGCCTGAGAAAACCAACAAAAATATCATTCCTAAATGTGGTACTCCTAGCAGGCAAATCTTCAATGGCAACCACGGAAAATAGCAAAGTGAAAACGCGATTTTTGGAGCTGGAATCCCACCGATGGATCTGGCAGTCCACGGGAGGCAGAGGCTGCATTAGTTATTTTCCCGTCTTTTTCCCTACATCCCACCGCCTCCCTTCTCTCTTCCCAGAGCTCAACCTGGCAGGCAATTACCTGCACCGCCTGCCCGAGGAAATCACCTCCCTGCTGCACCTCCGGGCCATCGACCTCTCCCGCAACAGGTTCCGGCATTTCCCGGAGCCCCTGGCCACTGTCCCCGCCCTGGAGACCATCGATCTGGAAGAGAACGAGATCGCAGGTGAGGAGAACCATTTCCCACTGGAAAAAGGTGCTTTAAATAATCAGAGCCTGCTTAGCCATTTTCCTTTCCAGGTTTTTTCACCACCTCCCAGGGAAAAGATGCTGCAGGCAGCTGGGATGTTTGCTGTCCGGCTAAGCAAGGGCATGAGCCCACCTGAACATTTCCCAGAGCAAACAGGAGCTGTTTAACACTACAGAATCCCCTAAATATTACATTAAAGGAATGGTGAGAGATGCTCATCCCCCAGCCCTGCAGTGGCAGGAAAATCTTTCATGTGCAAAAGCTGAAGGCTTTGGAGTCTCCAAAAGCTGGGGAAAGGGGGCAGCTGTTGTACAGAGATAAAAGGGGATTTATTTAGGTTGCAGCTTTCAAAGGGCCCGGGCTGGAGCATCCCACAGACCCCCAGGGAGGTCGATATCTACGGAGTCTACTCAATTTTGCTGTTTTATCTGGGATTGCTGCAGCTGCTGCTGGGAAAGTTGCTGCCTGCAAACACGAGGTTTATTAACAGCCTCACATCAGCTGCTCCCCGGCTGTGCCTGTAGAAACACTGGAATTAAAAACTGCTTCCACAGGAGCCAGAGGAAGGCACGGCTTTTCCTCACCCTCTTTTTCTCTCCCACTTCCCAGAGATACCTGTCTCACTCTTAGTTCCCTCCACTGCTTTTTGAGTTTAATTGGCTGATTTCAATCTGACCTGGTCTCCAAACAGCATTTTCCCCACTTGTTTTGTGGAAGCAGGATGCTGGAAGAAGGGAATGCAGCTTTTTGATGCCTTTTTTCCTGCTAAAATGTAGGGAGGAAAGGTTGCATCCAGCTGGATTGATCCTGGGTTGGGAGGAGAACAAGGCTTGGTCACCTCCCACCAGGCTCCCCTCTGCTGGGAGGAGTCCTCCCGATGTGGGGAATATAAAAACAGAGTGAAATTTAACAGTTTCAAGCCAAAATGTTGCGGGGATATGTCTGAGTAATGCACATGATGCTGTCTGGCTGCAGAAATAAGTGACGTGAGCTTATCTGACACATTTTCTGGAAAGGGAAGAGGTAGAGACCAGAAAGCCAGGGATGTTTCAGCCCGTTTTTCCCAAGGAAAAAAAGCCCTAGGGAATCAGATTGTTCCTACCAGCCCTTCCCAAATAGGTTCCAGGCTCCCTTGCACACGAGCTTGTGTTTGTAGGGTAGCAGATCCCCTGTTTTGTGGTGCTGTGCCAGTGCTGGGCCTGTCTGTCCTCCTCTGCCATCCCAGGAATGCTGGAGAGGCTCCTGCCAGGGCTGCAAAACCGATTTGAAAGCTCCTGCTGAAACAGCTGAGTGACCCACTAAGACATATTGAGCTGGAGGTGGTCGGTGATGTTTTCCAAAGGGAAACAGGAGTGAGAGGAGATTAATTAATGCCTGCCTGGAGACTGTGGGCTCTGTGAAAGGAGACGTTTAGTGCCACAAGCCACCCTTTTCATCTAAATAAGCTCTTAACCCTGGACTGTAATTATGTATGTATTACTGTCAGTGCTTTTAACTCTTTCCCTGATAATTAGAGTTATAGCAAATCAGCGTTTTAAAGTCCCAAATCCATGGGGATGTTTTGGTGCCTGGAGCTTCAGCTTCTCTTTCCCTTATTCCTCAATTAATGGTTTAATAGGAATGATGTTGAGACTGCTGCCAAGGCTGGGGAGGTCACTGCTGGGGGCAGCTGTGGTTGATTTTGTCCTCTTGAGATGGGACAAAAGGGGATGGTTTCAAACTCAGAGTAGGGTTAGATGGGATATTGGGAAGAAATTCTTCCCCGTGAGGGTGATGAGACACTGACACAGAGCCACTGTGGATTCCTGGAAGTATCCAAGGCCAGATTGGATGGGGCTTACAGCAAGCTGGGATAGTGGGAGGTGTCCCTGCCTCATCCAGGGGTGGGACTGGATGGGATTTAAGGTCCCTTCCAACCCAGACCATTCCACAGTGGTGTCACTCTCCATCACATTCTGCTTTAATCATCTAAAAGCCTTTTCCCTCCCTGATTTTTGCTAAACTGGTGAAGGCAGAGTGAATAATTCAGGCTGCACTGTGTGCCCTGCCTGGCCCTTCACGCCAGGGGTGAGTCATTGCTCCTTACCTGGAATTCAGGTGCAGAGCTGTTCCCAGCCTGGGAAGGTCTTGGTCCCCAAAATACTTCACTAAACTCCCTAATTTAAGCAAAATGGGTGAAAGCACTTTTAACTTTATCATGCTGCATAAGAGGATGATTAAACTTCTTATTCTCTGCTGCATTGGACGATGATTAAATAGAATGATCTATAAAAAAAAAATATTACTTTTGTGCTTCAAGGGAATAAAAAGCAAGCAAAATTATATGGGGCAATGGCAGAGAACAAATCCACCATGAAGAACAGTTATTAAAAAAATTCATGTGAAGCTCTGCCTGATGAGATATGCGCTCCTAGGGAATTTGTATATGGAAAATAACACAGTTTTCTGGAGGAGAAAGAGGGGAAAAAACAAAGGCATCAAAGTGTTTGAGTCTTTTTCCAGCATAAAATAAGTTTCATGGTTTAAAAATCACATAATCCTCTACCAGATATAATTACAACTCTGCAATTCTGCTCCAGGAGCTGGGATATAAAAGGCTCTTGTCATTTTGGTGGCCAAATTAAGAAGAAATTGGTTTAGGTTAGTCAGACAGGTGGGCTTTGCAAGCCCAAAATATTGTGAATTGTATCAAAATCTATCACCTTTTAATGAGCTTAATGGTTAGGTTTCCATATCAATCTCATTCCTCTGCTCTCAGTGTATTCACATTGGGACCATCCAGCTGAGCTGAACCTTTATTTTTTAAAGCAGAGTTTGTAAATGTAATGTTTTACAAAGGACAACACCCAAATTCATGGAAATTGCAAAATAGAAGGGTGCCTGTTGTGGCTGAGAGCCATTTTGCAGTCTGTCCAACAAGGACAAAGACCACGTGCCCTCCTGATAGCTTGGAGAGGGCTCCTGGGCATTGCAACACCGGGCATAAAATCAGGGAATAAGTCTTTGCACCCCGATTTACTGTGCCAGCAGGGGTGTTAATTAGCACTGGGAGAACCAGAGGGCAGTGCCCACATTGGATATCCCGGTGTTTGCACCGTGCTGCCACATTTCGTAGAATCACGGGATCATTTAGGTTGGAAAAAGCCTCTGAGCCCAGCGAGTCCAACCCATAACCATTTATCAAGCCTGAGCAGTTGGATAAATTAATATTTCACTGTGTTTCTGTTTTGATCAAAGCCTGCAGACGGGCAGGAGCGGGGTTTACTGCAGCCTGTCCATCAAGAGGAGCTTTCATCCCTTCTGCTCCTCCAGGACGGATCCTCACCTCCGTGCTCTCTTTCCAGAGGTGCCGACGGATAAATTGGCTTCCATGGCATTGCTGCGGAGCCTCAACCTGCGGGCGAATCCCGTCGGCCCCGAGGTGCGGCTGCTGGTCCGGCCCCTCGTCCCCTTCGAGGTGCTGCTGTCCCCAGAGGAGCCCATCCCTAAAGCCTGACAGGATCCCAGGGAGTCCCGAGGGGTGACTGCCCACCGGAGTGGTTTGGCTTAGGTCAATTCCTGCTACGCCCGTGTTTCTGTCCCAAAGCTGCAGCCAGCGGGTCCCAAACCCGAGCGAGTGCCTCGTTTTTCCTAAATTAAAAGCAAGCAGCGGGGCTCCTCCGTGGAGGGATGGCTCTGCCAAATCCCGAGCCAGGCAATCTCCTGCTTATGTGTTTTGGAGATGCAGAGGAGCTACGACACATCTGGTGGGAGGTTTGGGTAAAGCCGGGGGGGATCTGGATGTTCACCCTCCCACCTGAGTGGTGATGGGGAGCAGCCGGCATGGTGGAGGACATCCCTGCGGCTGTAAGGGTTCTCCCCGGAATTGCTGACGTGGTGGTGTGCCAAGTGCCTGATTAAAAGCTTTCCTGTTACCTCGGGGGGTTTGTTTCTGATTAAATTCGAATTACCAGCCTTGTCCTTAAAGAAGCCCCTTTGCACAGCTGCTCACTGCAGCCTCCAGCTGGATTCTCCCAGACCCAAGCAGTATTTCCCTGGAAAATTCCTTGATTTCCAAGGGATTTTTCTTCCCTTCTGTTTTTTCACCGTAGAAACCAAAGTGACCCAATGCCAGTGTCCCCAGAAGTGTGTGCCCACCTCTCGGGTGCTGTGGGTCCTCAGGTTGCACTGATTCACTTCCCAGGAAAAAGTGTCCTGGAGAGAGTGGCTTCTCGGTGGCAGGGAGGCCACTGCCAAGCACACCCATGTCCCTTAGCAGCTGGCTGCCTGCTAAAAAAAAAAAAAAACAACCAACTCCTGGGAGAAACCCCAGGTGTTATCTCAAAACGTCTTGTTTAAACATCTCCCTTGTTTGTTCCTTTGGGTATTTAGGGGACAAACACTTCCCAATGGTGTATGCGGGCTGGGGACAGCCAGGAATGGTAAATCCTGTAAATATTTGACTTCCAGACTTGCCAAACTTTGGTAAAAGATTATGGTAAGAGATGTTGGGCATGCTGGAGGAGCTGGGGTTGTGTGGAGCAGCCTGGAGCCAGGACCAGCATTTCTAAACATCGTGTGGCTTTTCCCGTGTGTGTGGATTGATGAGTGGGGGATCTTCCCACTCGTCTTGAGGCTCCTAGCATATTTTCCTCCCGGGATGGATAGGAGCGCTGCTGGGGACATCGGCCATCAGCTGCCAGCACCAGTGCGGGGACCTCGGCGGCAGCGAGGGGACACAGACCCCGACCCTGCCTAGGGAGCGAATCTGCTCCCTCCCTCTCCTCGTCCCGCGTGGGCTGCCCGCCCCCGCGCTGCCTCATCGGCGGGGGGCTGCCCGCGGGTCTCCCGGTATCCATGGCGATTGGAGGCTGTATCCCACCCCTCCCCTTCTCCGCTGCAGCCGGCGAGCAGCCGCAACCGGCGCGGCGGCACCGCGGCGGCCGCACCGGGGCTCCGGACCGGGCGGGAGGGACGCAGGGAGGGACGGGGGAGAGCTGCGTCCCCTCCTCCGGCGGTAGCCACTGCATGGCAGCGATGCAGCCCCCGGAGCCGGGTCCGGCCGGCGGAGGTGAGTGCCAAGACCTGATTGATTTTATTCCCCCAAAAAGCTACGCACCCCTCACCCCAGCCCCCTTTTCCATCGGATCAGCCTTTCCCTGCGGTGGTTTCCCACAGCCGGGCAGGGAGGCAGGTGGTCCATCCTCCCCCGCCGGTTCTCCCATCCCCTTGTCACCACGTCCGAGAGTGTCAGTGCTGAACTGAAGACGCCTGCATCCATCCGGCCATCCATTCCTAGCACCCATTCATCCATCTATCCTCTCATTCATTCATCCATCCAGCGCCAACCCGGCTACTCAGCAGCCCCTTATTTTCCTTTCCCCATTTCCACCTTGCTTTTAAAACCACCTCCAATTCCGTAAGATACCAGCCTCCTGCTCATGCTGCACTGCAGCCCCCAAAGATAAAGTCCAGCAAACTTTCAGGTTTAATATCACAGGTTTTGGGCAATCTCATTACAGTCTTTGTTATTGCTCCTGCTTACAAAGCTGGTTCACGCATCTGATACCGACTGTCTGGAGAATCTTGGGCCCTCGATCTCGCTAACTCCTGCCTGTCCAAGAGGCTCCTTCTCCGGTGTCAGCTGCAACCCCCCCCAGCGCCTTTCTGAAATGTTTTGTCCGAATCCCACTCCCAGGATCGGGGTATTAGGGGCTGGATAGAGCCCTCCTGCCTGCCGGAACCTTGAGGTGGTCCCGCTGGCTGGGAAAAGCATCTCGGCTGGCGAGCTGAGCACCGGCATCGGCGCAGGGATAGGGGGATGCTCCAGCCGCCCATCACACAGCGGCTTTGGAAGGCTGTCTCAGCGCAGGGCTGACCTGCAGGCGCTTAGGCTGAGCCCTAAAGCTAAACTCTGCTTTTCCTCGCCTCACCACTGCAGCCTGGATTCTCCCGGAGCCAGTCCCGTCACCGCTGCAGGCAGCTCCTGCCCACGCCCGGCATCCTCCCGCATCCCTGCTTGCGTGCGGCTGGGGAAGCCCGAGGGTGGGAGCTGCCGAGCCTCGCTCCCCGTTCAATCCGTGGTGACAAAACGCCACCCCCGAGCCTCCATCAGAAGCTCCCAGATAATGATCAGAATGACAACTATCGCTTTAGATGTGAGAGTAGGGGAGGGTGTCCTCTGCCCCAACCCTTTTCCCTTGGTTATTTGCCGGGGAGAATAAGATTTTTCGGAATATCGAATCGTAAACCTGGGAAGCACAAGGAGAAGTGGCAGCCACCCAGGGGCAGGGATGTTCCCAGGCCAGCCGTGACTGGGAGCACACGGATACAGCTCCCATAAGGCTGGAGCATTGGAGCGTCGGGATGTGGATTTGTCTTCCTTGCATCACCCCTAAAACAAGGCCCACGAGATCAGGGTGTCTTCTGCACTAATTCCTCATCAAAAGAATGATGCAAATAATAATGATATCAAGTAATAACGATATAAAACAATAGTTGCATCAAACGCTAATGATATCAATGGTATCAAATAATAATGATGTAAAATAATAATTTGTCTGAGGTGCAGCAGAACCTTGAGCAGTGTAACCCAAGGAAGAGGAGACTTCTTGGGGCACGAAGATGAGTCCAGCAGGACATGTCCCAGCCAGTCTGGTCACTGGAATAAATATGAAATCCACCTCTGGAGGCATTAAGAAATGAAGAGAATAATTACTTTATTCTCTCCCGGCTTCATTTTCCTGCCTTCCCTTCCCCAGGCCCTTCCAATGGCACCTGGTGGCCCAACTCCAGCACCAGCCACCTCCTGAGGGAGAACTACACTTTCCTGGCATACTACCAGCATTCCTCCCCTGTGGCCCTCATGTTCATCCTGGCCTACACCTTCATCTTCCTCATGTGCGTGGTTGGCAATGTCCTGGTGTGCTTCGTCGTGGTGAAGAACCGCCAGATGCGCACGGTCACCAACATGTTCCTGCTCAACCTGGCCATCAGCGACCTGCTGGTGGGCATCTTCTGCATGCCCACCACCCTGGTGGACAACCTCATCACAGGTGAGCAGGGCAGAGGAAGGGGAGAGAGATGAGGAGTGGACAGAAAGTGGTTTTTGGCCATTTGTGGTAAAATAATGCTGCATTTGCATATTTGTTTGAAGTTCAGCCATTCTTCACCAAGCAATGCTGAAAAAAACCCTCCTATTTTTTCTGCATCCACCTTCTCCTATGCTGGCTCAGCTCTGCCTGTTGACCTTTCCAAAGATAAGGGAGTTGGGAGGGCTCAGCTGCAGCAGCAGCCAGGCCATAGGGCAGGGTTTGTATTTATTGATTATGGGGTGTGATTTATTTATTGCCTTGGTATTGGGGTCAAAGAAACAAGATGAAAGTCCTTCTGATTGAGGGTCCCAAAGTCGGTAGGAAAAATGTCAGCCACCATGTTCCTTGAGTTTCTAAATGCAATGTGCGTCTTCTTTACCAATTTTGGGGTTCTCCTTCAAGGATCCATGCTGCTAAAGGCTATCTCCACACAAGCCCCCTGTTAGGAGCAGGACATAGCATCCCCCAGCAACAACACTGGTGGATGGGAACACCTAAAGGGAGCTGGGTGAGCCAGAGGCACCTACACCTTCCATGGTGTCCCCTCGCAGGCTGGCCCTTTGACAACACCATGTGCAAAATGAGCGGCCTGGTGCAGGGCATGTCCGTCTCCGCCTCTGTTTTCACGCTGGTCGCCATTGCTGTGGAGAGGTACGTTGCCGTGGGGACGTGTGGGGACATGGGGACCAAACAATCTCCAGCAGGTCCAGGTGCCCTGTGTGGTTGCCATTGCAGGAAAGCTCCTGGGAATCTCAGGAGTATGTCACAGGTCTCCAGGAGGACCACAAAGAGGTCCATGGGGCATTCCAGCAAGACGTCCTTCCCCACACAGGGCTGAAAACACCAACCTATCTCTGCCAACAAAACGTGTAAAAAGCAACCCACCCTCCCTCCCTTGCCATCCCTGCTCCTGGCCACCCTCCTTCCCCAGGGATGTCCCCACCTGGTGCCCAAAGCCACCACCAGCTGTTCTCCCACAGGTTTCGCTGCATCGTCCACCCCTTCCGGCAGAAGCTGACGCTGAGGAAAGCCCTGCTGACCATCGCCATCATCTGGGTGCTGGCTCTGCTCATCATGTGCCCCGCCGCCATCACCCTGACTGTCACCAGGGAGGAACACCACTTCATGGTGGACACCTACAACAACTCCTACCCTCTCTACTCTTGTTGGGAGGCCTGGCCCGAGACAGGGATGAGGAGGATCTACACCACCGTCCTCTTCTCCCACATCTACGTGGCTCCCCTCGCCCTCATCGTCATCATGTACGCCCGCATCGCCTTCAAGCTCTTCAAGTCGGTGGCGCCTGCCCACGGCGGAGAGGAGCCGGAAGGGAGGAGGATCTCCAGGAGGAAGGCCAAGGTCATCAACATGCTCATCATCGTTGCCCTCTTCTTCACCATCTCCTGGCTGCCCCTCTGGACGC